AAGGCGTGGCATTTGTCCGGGTTGGCTTCGATCCCCCGTTCGGTCAAGTAGTAGCCGAGGAATTTACCGGCGCAGACGCCGAAGGTGCATTTCTCCGGGTTAAAACGCATGCGACATGATCTCGCGGTCTTGAAGACTTTCTGGAGATGTGCCGCGTGGTCGTCTTCCGCGCCGGATTTGACGATCATGTCGTCCATATAGACTTCGAGCATGTCCCCGATCTCGTCTTGGAAGACGCGGTTCATCATCCGTTGGTACGTGGCCCCAGCGTTTTTGAGGCCGAAGGGCATTACGTTGTAATAGTAATTGCCCGATGCTGTCATGAAGGCCGTGGCCTGTTTGTCGTGTTCGGCCATCGGGATCTGATTGTATCCCGAGTATGCGTCCATGAAGGACAAGAGTTTGAAGCCCGCCGAGTTGTCGACGAGCTTGTCGATGTTGGGGAGGGGGTAGGCGTCCTTAGGACATGCCCGGTTGAGGTCAGTGTAGTCAACGCACATGCGCCATTTTCCATTATTCTTTTTAACAAGTACAACGTTGGACAGCCAGGTGGAATACCGGGCTTCCGAAATAAAATTTGCCTCTAAGAGGTCTTTTACAGCTTGTTCGGCTGCTGCCGATTTTTCCGGGGACTGGCGGCGACGGCGTTGCACCACGGCCTTTGCGGTTGGGCTGATGGACAGCTGGTGGCAGGCGACCTCAGGGTCGAGTCCCGGCATTTCCGCGGCGCTCCAGGCGAAGAGGTCGGCATTCTCGCGGAGGCAGGCTTGGAGCTGTCATTTCGCGAGGTCGGGGAGTCCTGCGCCTACCCTCACGGTTCTGGTCGTGTCGTCCCCGAGGGGAATGAGCTCGAAATCGCCATCCGGGATGGGGCGCGCTGGATGCTCGTTGGCTGCGTCCGTCTTTTTGTTGTCGAGCTCGTCGGTGAAGCGACTGTCGAGCTCCACTGATCCGACCAGCTCTGTTGGTTTGTCCTTTGGCGTAGCGCTCGGTGCTTTCTTTTTGGTCGGCGGAGCGATGGAGTCGAAGCCTTTCAGCGCGGCTTCAAAACACCTTCGGGCAGCTTCGATGTCGCCGTTGAGGGTGACCACGGCTCCCCTTCTCGTGTAATATTTCATCTTCAGGTGGGCGGTGGAGGGTACCGCGGTGAGTTCTGCTATCGTTGTCCTGCCCAGGATGCAGTTATACAGGGACGGGCATTCGATGACTAAGAAGCGGACGCTGATGTCTCTGGCCGTTTCCTCTTCCCCAAAGGTGACTTTCAGTTCCACGTATCCCCAGGGTCTTGTCGTCGTCCCGTTGAACCCCTGGAGGTCGGAGCCTACGTAGGGGGAGAGGTTGGATTCGTTGAGCTGGAGAGTTGTGAACAAATGTGAGTACATTATGTCAACCGAGCTCCCTCCGTCGACGAGGAGGCGCCTGACGTCGAAGTTTGCCATACGTGCGCGTATGAGCAAGGGTATGTTGGAATTGGGAGATCCCCCGGGCAGTTCCTCGAGGTAGAATGTGATCGGGTTGGAGCGGCCTCGGAATCTGTCGAGCGTGCTCATCTTGCCGGAGTTGCCTGCGATGAGTTCGTCGAATTTTCTTTTCACAGATCCTATGGACAGACTCCTCGTAGCTCCATCAGAGATGACCATGGCTCTGGGGAAGTATTCCCATCGGCTGGTTGGTCGGATTGGCTCGCTGACTAAGCTGGGCGCTTCGGGGATGCTGAATCTTCTGCTTGCGAACCAATCTTCGGGGCGGCTGACGCACAGCGCGACCTGGAGTCTCTCGCCGTCCTCTGGGGAGGGGAGCTCCTCGATTTTCTTTGCCTCCGGAGCCTCCGACCTGGGTGGTTCACCTCCCCGGGTATATCGCTTTAAGTGCCCATCTTTGATTAGGATTTCGATCGCGTCTTTGAGATGGATGCAGTCCTCCGTTACATGCCCGTGGGTCCTGTGGAACCGGCAGTACTTTGACTTGTCCACGTTGGGTTTGGGCGGCGTTGGTCGTGGAAAACGGACACCTCCCTGCACAAACTCGGTTTTAGCACATTCGGCCAGTATGCGTTCGCGCGAAGCGACCAAGGCGGTGTACTCGGTGAACCTTCCTGCCGGGCCGCGTGACTCGCGCTGTTCTCGGGGTTCGCGGTGGCGGTCATCTCGACGGCGGTCCCCTCCTCGTCGGTGGCTCGAAGCTCCGTCGTCTCGGTGCCCGCGGGGGGCTTCTCTGTCTCGGGTGTCGCGAGCGGAGTTGGCCGCTTGTGTTTCCTCGAACCGGATGTAATGGGCGGCCCTGTCGAGGAAGTCTTGGAGGGACGTGGGCCGGTGTATGCCTACGGCCTCGTAGAATTTGGAGTCATGGCGCAGGCCTTGCTCCATTAAGTAGCGTTTCATTTCGTCGGAAGTCGTCACCTGTACGGCTTCCCGAGTAAACCTTTCGATGTATTTCCGGAGGGGTTCGTCGGGGCCTTGGATGATCGCCCCGAGGACTGCTTCCGTCTTCGGGTGACGCCGGGACGCTGTGAAGTGTTTGGAGAATAGGTCCTTCAAGACCCTCCACGATGTAACTGATTCGGGCTCCAGGCTTTTGTACCAGGTCATAGCGCCCTTCCTCAGAGTCGTCGGGAAGAGTCTGCATTTAATAGCTCCCCGGACATTGCGGTAGTCGAGCATAGCCTCGATGTCTTCCAGATGATCGTCCGGGTCGGAGGTGCCGTCGTACGTTGACAGCGTCGGTGGCTTCTCCATTCCTTGGGGTATAGGGGCTGCCATGATCTCCCGGGATAGTGGGGTGCGGTAGTCATCCTCGTCGCTGTGCGCCGGGGATCTCAGGGGAGATGAACCGACCGCGGTGTGTCCCGGGTTTCGGGTTCTCGATCTCCGGCCTGAGTTCCCGGCTCGGGTTTCCTCGGTTGGGGTCGCCGCGGCGTTCTGGTTCCTCCCGCGACCATGTCTTGCCGGGGATCTGGTGCGCTCCCGTGTCGCTTGGGGGCGGCGTCTCTCCAACCGCGGTCGGCGGTTCCTGGGTCGAGGTGAGGGGCTCCTCGAACCTCCGTTCTGGTCATCCCGCTGGGGGTACCTCGGGGAGCCGCCGCGTTCCAATGCTCCAATTCTAGCGTTCTGTTGGGACAGCAGCTGGTTCGTCTGGTTGATGGCTGCAAAGAGAGCGGCTACCGTTGGGTCCGCTCCCGCCGGGATGGGAACGGGGTGGAATGCCGGCGGGCTCGGGGGGCGATGGTCGGCATGCAGGGGCCGTTCCTCGGACGATGGTGAGGCAGTTTGCCCGTCTCTTTCGTCGGCTTCATTCAGGCGCGCCGTTCCTACCTGCTTCCCGTTGGTGGCAGTGTTGAGCGCGAGATCGTGCAGAGTGTCATCGCGGCGTGGGCTGGCCATGACCGTGGAGGTTTGGTGAAACTTTTGGTTTTTCTGCTCGGAGTAACGGGGAAGTTTCAGTTCCCACAGACGGCGCCACTGATCTGACCTGATCAGGAGGGATCACGGACTGGCCACGCTTCGCCGGACGGTTATCTGTTCGCCGAGGTAAGAACGAGGAGGGGGTGTACCTGCAAAGCACTCCGACGCCCAAGTAAGAAGTTGGACAGAGAGGAAGCAATAGTACAGAAAAGGGGGCCAGAAGAGTTACCTGACCCTCTTGAAGAAGAGGGTATTTATAGAGAGACCCCAGCGCTGGGCCAACGGTCATTCGAGGTGGGCCAGACGACCAGGCCCAACCCTAATGACTGCTAGGGCTTACGTGGCGTAGTGAAGACCAGGACGTGGTCTTCGCCCTAGTTCAACCGCTCCTAGGTCTCCGGAAAGTGGGTTTGACCTGCTCTTTCGGAGGTGGGCGGTTGGCCGATGACGTGTCCCCGCGGAGGGGAGCACGTGGAGAACGTGCGCCGAGCACGTTATTCCCCGCGGAGGGGAGCACGTGGAGAACGTGCGCCGAGCACGTTATTCTCCCGCGGAGGGAGCACGTGGAGAACGTGCGCCGAGCACGTTCTTCTCCCGCGGAGGGGAGCACGTGGAGAACGTGCGCCGAGCACGTTATTCTCCCGCGGAGGGAGCACGTGGAGAACGTGCGCCGAGCACGTTCTTCTCCCGCGGAGGGAGCCCGGTTAGTCTTGCTCGTCCGGTGTATCGGGCGACGAAGGGGATGCGGTGCGATGGCTTGTGCCCGGCGGACGGTCCTGCCCGTCCGAAGGGGGGTGTGCCAGGTGTGCTCGGTTCGCCTGTTGAGCCGTATTTGATATTGGGCCTGCCGAGGTGAGGCCCACACCGGAACAATATTTAATACAAAAGGATATTTAACCAAAAACTAGGTTTAGTTTTTTTTTTGCTTTATGGAAATCTCTTAAATATTAATTTTTTAAAATTTTATGAACATTATTTTTTAAGAAAATTGTTATTAAATAATCAAATTCTATTTTAAATATTTTATTAAAAATGCTATAATCAACAAAATACTATACATTTATTGAAATTTATTTATTTAAATTTCTAATCAATTTTTAAAAACAATTTATTTTGATCAAAATAATTAAAAAATAATTTTCATATATTTCAAGTCAACCAAAGTTGATCTTAAATTAACCCCATTTTATTTTCTATAACTTATTAGATTTGTTTATCCAATTAAAGTAATCAAAATAATCCAAACAAAATTTAAGAGAAGATAATATTATTTAATTTAATGGTGATTGAGGCGGTTAATCTTCTCCAAATACAATTGAAAAAGAGTTAAAATTATTTGAATAAACCCTTCGACAAAAGAGTTGAGTACACGAGTTCCATTAATTATAAAAAGACTTTGTACGAAGGGTGTAGAACGGTACTCCACTGACCTAAAAATATTTCCTCATTCGCGTCTTTCTAAAATCCGAGCGAGCAAGTTTCTCCTTAGTCCCCACCACTCTGTATGTATACGACCACAGATGTTCAAAATTTTCGCGCTTTCGCTCTCCGTTTCTCGCGCTGGCCTCTCTGACACACAACAAATCTAAATCTACCGTTATGGAGCGTCGTCTGCTCAAGGATTTCGACCTTCAGCACAAAAATCCTTCCCTCGAAGCTCTTCGGAGATGGAGATCCGCCGTCACTCTCGTTAAAAACCGCCGTAGACGCTTCCGTATGGTTGCCGATCTTGAAAAACGCTCCGAAGCCGAACAGATTAAGCACGGAATCAAGGTTCTTCTCTCTCGCTCTATACATCATTTTATCCTAACCTTAACAGTAATAGGAAAACAAGCTCACATTTCAAACTTTTATATTATTTCATTTTCAGAGTTGAATTAGAAAAAAAGAACTCTTAGTTAGAAGAGATATTATATTTGCTTAAATTTGTTCACCAACAATAATTATTTTTACCATTATAAACAAGATGTCTTTTTTTTTTTTATAAAACTCTGCACGTAACTAATTCCTCAAGACTGAAGACCACACTGGACAAAGAAAACTCTTCATTTAATGCCCATTTGTTGGTTAGTAGAATTGGAAAGCTATAATAGAGACATTGTTGTGAATAAAATGGATTTGCATTGTTGTGAATAGTTTTTTTCAAAGATGATTATTTTGATTATTTTAATTTACTCTATTTTATGAAAAAATATTGTTTAGGAAAATAGTGTTTTCATGTTATTTAAAATTGTTACAACTATTTTTAGATATTTTTTCTATAGTTTTGTATTTCATATTTTTTTTATTTTTTAAAAAAATTATTAATTTATAAATATAAACTACTTATTTACATTAATATAAATTAATATAAATAAATGATGTCGTTAAGGATTCGGGTTGACTCTATCAAACCTCGAACTTTATAAGGTCATGCAAAAAAAATTTGATGTAGTATGGGTTAAAAAATTACTATTTGAGCCCGGTTTTTTACGAAATTCAAGTTATCTAATTTTAAATTGACTATTTTTTATATTAATTTTAATATAAAAATTAAAATAAAACTTTATAATATTTATTATAAATACGATAAAAATATATTATTTTAAATATAATATATTTTTAAATATTATATTGTTTTTTATAAATACTAGAATATGTTAATATATGTCTCCATCTCTAAATTATATAAAATAATACTTAATGTTTAACATAGGAGAAATTATTAGAATGGGTGGAAATCGTAAAGTAAAACACAATAATTAAATATTAATTTAAAATATTTATGTATAATATTTAAAAGAGAAAATCAAGTAAAATAAAGATAAAATATAACTAGGCTAAAAACATCAATGTGATCTTTTAGAATGAGATATTATAAATATTTATATATTTTTTTTTAAAACACAAATCTTATAGTTTTTTGGATTTTGTATGCCAACTCATATATATTAGTCAATTTTAACCGTTCTATCTGGACCAGCAAATTACATCTATTTAATGTATAATAATTTTTTTATAAAATGTATTTAAAATCTTTTTTTTATAAAATTCTAAATGCATAATTAATTTTACGTTAAAAGTATCAAACTATTTAAAGTCATTGCAAAATCAATTAATTGCTTCCAAACCAAGCATCCACTTAAAAAATTAGTAGTACAAGTTTGACTTTCATTTTTTTTTTTTTGAAAAATTTGTATTAACAAGTAGATTTATTGCGAGCAGGTCGATTTTTACTAGTACAGTATACTGTATAACCGATTTAATTGCATAAAAGGTTCGGTAATGCTATCGTTTTTATTTCTAAAAGTTTTTAATTATTTATTATTTCATTTTATCTAGTTTTTTAGTGTAATAAATAACTAAAAGTATTATGAATAAATTTATTTTATTCTATTCAACGCCCCTCTAAAAAAATCTATTCAACCTAGTGATAGGATTAGGAGAGAAAGGCATGGAAATTTCCACGAAATTTCTCAGCAAAATATGCTATCATTGTCTGACAATACCGCAATAAATTTGATAGACAGTGTGACAACCAGTGGGAAATAAACCAGAGAAAGTGGAACCAAATAGTTGAGAAAAAATAAGTTGAGAAAATAAACCAGAGAATGTGGAACCTAATAGTTGATAACATGACTATTTTTCATGATTTCTAAAATCTTTTATTTGGAGGTTCCAATCCCATATAAAAAATGAAATTCACAAAAAAAAATTGAATAAAGTTACTACTATAAATAAAAAATTATTTGTTAAAATTTATTGAACAATGATCTATAAAGCAAAGTTATTTGTTAGATATTATTCAATTAATTTAAAAAGCAAAATTTGAAATTAAGATATGTGTGGCTTCTTTGTATTTCTTTGCTTGGAAAAAGTGTAGTATTTAGCCACATTTAAAATTAAGAAAGTCGAGTAGTTTTTTATTATTAAAGTGTTTTAAAAGAAATATTTATCATTGAAGTAGACTATCTTTTTTGAATTAAAAAGATAAAAAGGAATATAAGAAATGTGTACGTGATTTGATTCCATAATAACTTTCTTGACACGGAAACAAAGTACTCAGTCACCTGTTGCAGTCTATTAGGAAACAACTTAACTACCAATGAATTATTGTTGGTCTTGAATTGACCAATTACCTAAAACGTGTTTGGTTGTTGAATGGTTGATTTGATCATAACAATTGAAAGTTTACCATGTAAATCTGGTTGCTGCCTATAGTTTTCATGTCATCTGGTTTTAACAATCGTGGATGTTGGTTGGGGACAGTTAATAATTTCTTGTCGATATTGTACTTTTATCCCACGTTTTTCTCCTGTAAATTTTCCAGCAACAGCAACATGGGTACAATAGCAACATTATTGGTACCAGTATAATCTTAAGCCCCAGCTGGACAATGAACATCAGTGTCAGATAGCTTTCAAAAATAAAATAAGCCAGCATACAACAATAATAACCGAGCCTTATCCCGCAAAGTAGGATCGGCTATATAAATCAACTTCCGCGATAATGTTTTATCTAGAACTATGTTTATATTCAAATCGTTAATCTCAATATTTTTTTTAATAATTTCTCTTATAGTTTTTCCATATCATGTCTTTCTCTAACTATATAGCTCTTTGACTTCTTTCTGGTCTATTCTCTATACCACAAAATTCATAGCTCTACTCCCTACATGTCAAAATCACCTAAATCTATTTCGCACCATTTTTTCTACTATAGATTTTTAACTGTTCAACATTAATGTCCCGTACAACATTGCATATCTTACCGCAGTCTGATAAAAATTTTCCTTCAGCTTGAGTGGTACTTTTGTGTCACAAAAATCCAGGAATCTCTCCTCCATTTCGGCTACTCAACTTGAATTTGATAGTTTACATCCCCTTTTATTTCTCCATCGTTTTGTATTACATATCCATGATATTTAAACCGCGTGATTTGTGGAATGATGTGCTCTCCAACTTACACTTTCAGATTAGAAACACTTCTCCTTTTGTTAAACTTACGTTCCATATACTCCGTCTTACTTCCGCTTAGACGAAAATCATGTGTTTCTAAATCCCGTCTCCAAATCTCCAACCTCATTTAAATTCTTCTTCAACTCTCCAAATAAGACTATATCATCTACAAAGAGAGCATACCTCAAAAAAGACTAATGGGCTTAAACCTTCATTTATGCCAATGGATTCAGCCTTTAAATACACCAAATACTATTGGTGGTAAAACAGGGCCGGCCAGCCGGACATGCTCATTTTGCCCACATTTTTTTGCGGGGCGGAACAAGATTTTAGGCCCGCACACTTTAATATGTGCGCTCTGTTCCACCCCGTTTTTTTGCAGGCATGGACGTTAACATGAAAATTTGTAATTTTTGAACTCAAAAAGTGCAATGTCCGCGGACCCGCCCCTCCCGCACTCATTTTTTTTTGGAGCGGGGCAAGTTTTAGGCCCGCAACCTCAACAAAGCCAGTCCCGCCTCGTTTTTTTCGGGCTTTTGCGAGGTGGGCATGCCCGTTTGCCATCCTTCAATACACATAAAATATATAGATTTAAAATAAAAATTCAATAACCTTATTCTTATTATTGTTATATAAATTCATTACTGTATATATTGTCAATTCCTGAGTACCACTTTGGCTATATTAACTTTATTTACACTATCAGGAAAAAATTCGTATTGCTCTCTATGTTCAGAAGGCAGCATTGCAGTTTATTGATGGTATGGTACTCAAAATTCAGTACTTGAAGTTCATGGCATTGCTTTAGAGTTAATCACTTTCTCTTCAATTATTTTTCAAAGCTCATCTGTTTTTCTTATGCAAGCTGGTAACCGAGTTGAATACAAGTTATCACAAGAGGCAACAGAAGCTGGTTTTGAGATACATCCAAATGAGATCGCTTCTATTGTTCGTAGTCAAGATTACAAGAACTTGAGTAATAATGGTGGAGTTGAAGCCGTTGCAAGGAAACTGTCGGTTTCAACCGATGAAGGTGTCAGTGAAGCAAGTATAGATTGCAGGCAAAAAATCTTTGGGGTCAATCGTTATACAGAGAAACCTGCGCGAACGTTCCTGATGTTTGTATGGGATGCAATGCAGGACTTAACTCTAAACATTCTCATGGTTTGTGCCGTAGTTTCTATAGGTGTTGGGATTGCCACGGAAGGGTGGCCAAAGGGAACATACGATGGCGTTGGAATCATAATCAGTATATTCTTGGTTGTCATTGTTACTGCTGTCAGTGACTACAAGCAATCCCTACAGTTCATTGATTTGGACAAAGAAAAGAAAAAGATCTTTGTTCAGGTCACAAGGGATGGGAAAAGAAAGAAAATATTGATTTACGATGTAGTAGTTGGTGATGTTGTTCATTTGTCAACTGGAGATCAAGTACCAGCTGATGGAATTTATATATCCGGATACTTTTTGCTTATTGATGAATCGAGTTTGTCAGGTGAGAGTGAACCTGTATTTATAACTGAAAAACACCCTTTCCTTCTCTCGGGAACTAAAGTGCAGGATGGTCAGGGGAAGATGTTAGTCACAACTGTTGGCATGAGGACTGAATGGGGAAAATTGATGGAAACTCTAAATGAGGGAGGAGATGATGAGACACCATTGCAGGTGAAATTGAATGGAGTTGCTACAATTATTGGTAAAATTGGTTTGGGTTTCGCCATTGTGACATTTTCGGTATTGACTGTGAGGTTTCTTGTCGAAAAAGCACTTCATGGTGAGTTTAGCAATTGGTCTTCAAATGATGCAACAAAGTTACTGAACTTCTTCGCTATTGCTGTAACCATAATAGTTGTCGCGGTTCCTGAAGGATTACCACTGGCTGTGACACTAAGTCTTGCTTTTGCTATGAAAAAACTAATGAATGACAAGGCGCTCGTGAGACATCTTTCAGCATGCGAGACAATGGGTTCAGCTAGTTGCATTTGTACAGATAAGACAGGGACATTGACCACTAACCATATGGTGGTTAACAAAATATGGATATGTGAAAATACCATCCAATTGAAAGGTAATGAGAGTGCAGATGAACTGAAAACGAACATATCTGAAGGAGTTCTGAGCATACTTTTGCAGGCTATATGTCAAAATACTTCTGCTGAAGTAGTTAAGGATAAAAATGGAAAGAACACAATATTGGGAAGTCCGACAGAATCAGCGCTATTGGAATTAGGCTTGCTTTTAGGTTCTGATTTTGATGCTCGCAACCATAGTAAAGCTTATAAGATACTTAAGCTTGAGCCTTTTAATTCAGTCCGGAAGAAGATGTCTATACTCGTCAGTCTCCCTGATGGAAGTGTTCAAGCTTTCTGCAAAGGTGCATCTGAAATAATATTAGAAATGTGTGACAAAATTATTGATTGCAACGGGGAAGTAGTTGATCTTCCTGCAAATCGCGCAAATATCGTCTTAGATGTTATAAATAGCTTTGCCTCTGAAGCTTTAAGAACTCTGTGTTTGGCTGTCAAAGATATAAATGAAATGCGGGGAGAAACTAGCATTCCTAATAGTGGCTATACTCTAATAGCTATAGTTGGAATCAAGGATCCTGTACGCCCCGGTGCTAAGGAAGCTGTTCAAGCTTGTATCGCAGCTGGAATAACCGTCTGCATGGTCACTGGTGATAACATAAATACAGCTAAAGCTATAGCTAAGGAATGTGGTATACTTACCGATGGTGGTTTAGCCATAGAGGGACCGAGCTTTCGTGACTTGTCCACTGAGCAGATGAAGGATATCATACCGAGAATCCAGGTTATGATCTCATTGTATATTTTGTGACTTCCAAGTCTCTTGAAATGCTTAACTTTCCTTTAATTTGCATTTAATTTGTTATCAGGTAATGGCACGATCCTTACCGCTCGACAAGCATAAGTTAGTTACCAATTTGAAGAATATGTTTGGTGAAGTGGTTGCTGTTACTGGCGACGGAACAAATGATGCTCCTGCATTGCATGAGGCAAACATTGGACTTGCCATGGGCATAGCTGGAACCGAGGTTTGTGTCTCTTGTTTACCATGTCGATTCTAATTTCTGTGAATTAAGTGTAATGTTACTTTAGTATAATAATCCGCAATCCTTTGATGCTATTGATATCAAATAACTAAATTTTGGGACATTAAAATTATTTACAGGTTGCCAAAGAAAAGGCTGATGTGATTATAATGGATGATAACTTCGCGACTATTGTCAATGTGGTGAAATGGGGACGGGCAGTATATATAAACATTCAAAAATTTGTGCAGTTTCAATTAACTGTTAATGTTGTCGCGCTTATTATCAACTTCGTCTCTGCATGCATCACTGGTTTGTTTGTTTACAGAATTCATTTTCCATGTTCATTTGGAATGTTTCAAAGGAACATAGGTACTATGATATAGTTTTTCATTTTTTCAGGGTCTGCACCACTCACAGCTGTTCAGTTACTTTGGGTCAACTTGATTATGGATACTCTAGGGGCTTTAGCCCTTGCTACTGAACCTCCCAACGATGGACTTTTGAAAAGACCCCCGGTGGGAAGGGGAACAAACTTTATCACCAAAACTATGTGGAGGAATATCATTGGTCAGAGTATTTACCAGTTAATTGTACTTGCTATTCTGAATTTTGATGGCAAGAGGCTACTCAGAATTGGTGGTTCGGATGCGACTGAAGTGCTTAACACTTTGATATTCAACTCTTTTGTATTTTGTCAGGTACTAATGTTTCAATATTTTCTTTACAGACAAATGTTAGTAAATTAGGGATTATGTTACTTTTACGGTTTGTCATTTTAATGTATAGGAGTACATTGTTTTTGTAGACAAAGGTACAGCACATTGTTTTGCACTTACTGCCTGTTGTTTCCCTTTGTCTCTATTTGTTTGCAGGTGTTTAATGAGATAAACAGCAGAGATATGGAAAAGATAAACATATTCAAAGGCATGTTTGACAGCTGGATATTTTTGATGATAATTATCGCCACCGTCGCATTTCAAGCGGTGATAGTTGAATTTCTTGGAGCATTTGCCAGCACTGTGCCTCTAAGCTGGCAATTCTGGTTACTCAGTGTTTTAATTGGAGCAATTAGCATGCCTATAGCTGTAATCTTGAAATGCATCCCAGTTGAAAATAAAAATACTACAAATAAACAAAATCATGATGGTTATGATGCACTTCCATCTGGTCCTGAGCTAGCTTAGAATAAATTATTACAAGAGTACGGTTCCTGAATACTTTTGTTCTTATCTAATTCAATATTTTTAGATTTGAATTAAATTTGAACATTTATAAGAATGTATATCCAAGCTACTTTGATTTTTTTTGGCTTGTAATACAAATATCACAACACTGACAAAATTGATAATGATGTTTATAATTGTTAGCAGAAAATAGGGATCTCTTGAACACTATTGTTGATAAATGCATTTTTGTAGTTGACAATGTCAACATAATTATTGGCAATAATGAGTTAATTATTAGAAATAATTCTATAGAGATTGTATATTTATTTATAATATTTATTCTCTTAATTAACATAATTAACTGAAAATGTAAATAGGACAGTTTAGTTAATTTAGTGGGTTGAATATTCAACCTGACTGCTTGTAACTACAATATTTATATGAGAGATCAGAATGAAAAGATATACTGTTCTTTGACCAAAACTTTCTTAGTTAACATGGTATCAGCCTAGGTTAATATCCAAGAACCTAGTCTTTTTTTTTTCACGATCTTGTTTCATCTTTGTTCTCGTTTTTTTCTCTCTTTTGTTTCTCGCTCAATTCGTCGTTCTTGTCCAATTCTTATTTTCATAGATCCATGTCTACCGAAAAGCATGAAGTCTTGTTGGTTCGCCTTAATGGCAAAAACTACACATCTTGGGCATTCCATTTTGAGATTTTCGTCACAGGAAAAGATTTGTGGGGTCATGTTGATGGCAACACTCCAGCCCCTGACAAAGACAAAGATAAAGTTGCACATGCCAAATGGGTGGTCAAAGATGCTCAAGTCATGTCCTGGGTTCTAGGTTCTGTTGATCCCAACATTGTCCTGAATCTTCGACCTTACAAAACAGCAACCACAATGTGGAGATATTTGAAGAAAGTCTACAATCAGAACAACGTCGCTCGAAGATTCCAGCTTGAACATGACATAACTCTCTTTAAACAGGATAGTCTCCCCATCTCTGATTTTTACTCTCAATTCATGAATCTATGGACTGAATACACCGATATAGTTTATGCAGACTTGACTCCTGAAGGTCTAAGTTTTGTACAATCTGTTCATGAAACTACTAAACGAGATCAATTTCTTATGAAACTGAGATCTGAATTTGAAGGCATTTGGTCCAATCTCATGCATCGAAACCTTATCCCATCATTGGATGCGTGTTTCAATGATCTGTTACGTGAAGAACAACGTCTCCTTACACAATCCATCATTGAAGATAAAAAATTATCTATTGTTCCAGTGACATATATAGCACGAGGAAAATCAAGAAGTCATGACATGAGTTCTGTTCAATGTTTTTGTTGCAAACAATTAGGACACTATGCTTCAAACTGTTCAAAATTTTTTTGCAACTATTGCAAAAAAGATGGACATATTCTTAAGAAATGCCCAATCAGGCCACCAAAGAGAAATGTCACAGCTTTTACAGCATCGGTTGATTCATCAATTCCGCCAATTCCGCACCGGTTCAACAAAATGCTTCCACTACTACTTCAACGGTGACCCCTGAAATGGTTCAACAAATGATCGTTTCAGCATTCTCTGCTCTAGGATTCTCAGGCAAATCCTCTTCCTCTTGGTACTTTGATTCGGGGGCTTCCAACCACATGACCAGCAATGTTCAATTTCTTACTAATATCAAAAAATATTTTGGAAATCTCAAGATACATACTGCTGATGGAAATCAATTGCCTATCACATCCACCGGTGATATTTCTTCATCTCTAACAAATGTTTTTGTCTCTCCTGATCTCACTAGTAATCTCATTTCAGTTGGTCAATTAGTCGAGAAGGGGCCAACAAATGTTTTTGTGCAGGACCAACAATCAGGGAAGATAATCGCGAAGGGGCCTAAAGTTGGACGTCTTTTCCCAATTCAATTCTCATTGCCTCCAAGTCTTTCTCTTCCTTTAGTTTCGTGTAATTCTGCTATTGTTGATTACCAAGTGTGGCATAAGCGTCTTGGACATCCAAACACAAATGTACTTCATGAATTGCTAAAATCTAGTTTTCTTGGAAATAAACACATTCCATCTCTTAATTCTGTTCATTTTGATTGTATTCCTTGTAAGCTTGGTAAAAGTAAAATTTTTCCTTTTCCAACACATCAATCTAATGTAACCCAACTTTTTGATATCATCCACAATGATGTTTGGGGCATGACACCAGTTATATCTCATGCTAATTACAAATATTTTGTAACTTTTATTAATGATTATAGTCGTTTCACGTGGGTCTATTTTTTGCGATCAAAAGATGAAGTCTTTTCCACTTTCAAATTTTTTCATGCTTATGTTCAAACCCAATTTTCATCAAAAATAAAAATATTTCACTCTGACAATGGAAGGGAATACATGTCACACTCATTTCAGAAATATTTGCAATCTGGTGGCATTATATCTCAAAGGTCATGCCCCTCAACTCCACAACAAAATGGAGTAGTGGAAAGAAAAAACCGTTATTTGCGCAATGTTGTCCGCACCCTTTTATTGGAGTCTCATGTGCCGTCACGATTTTGGTGTGAAGCCCATTCCACCGTTGTCCATCTTATAAACATAATGCCATCTCCGTCAATAGGTAATGAATCCCCTTTCATTCGGTTATATGGTCACCCACCAAATTACTCCACTCTTCGTATTTTCGGTTGTGTGTGTTATGTTCATCTTACTCCACAAGAACGCACCAAGCTCACTGCACAATCTGTTGAATGTGCTTTTCTCGGATATTCTCCTCATCAAAAGGGCTTTCTATGTTATGATCCTAACCTTCAAGGATTCATGTATCTAGAAATGTTATTTTTCTAGAAAATATTTTTTTTCCATCACATCATGACTTCGTCTCTTCTCCAGTTTCTGTTTTACCATTGTTTTATAACTCTCATTCAGGTCAACAATCTTCTAAACCTCTCTTGACCTACAAAAGACGTAGTACTGTCACTCAAAACCAACCAATAGATGGGCCCCTCAAGATAATTCCTTGGCTGCTAGTCCAGTAGAAGAAGAACCAGAACCAGCTCCTCTACGACGCAGCACACGCGATAAAAACCACCAGAAAGGTATATCAATTGCATGACAACATCATTATCTTCTATTCCTATTCCTTCATCTTATAAACAGGACATGGAGAATAATTGTTGGCAGAAATCTATTGAAACAAAACTTCTTGCCCTGGAAGAAAATCAAACTTGGGATATAATGCCATGTCCCTCATCCGTTAAACCTTTAGGCAACAAGTTTGTGTTCTCCATAAAGCTGCGATCGGATGGATCCATAGATCGATACAAGGCTCGTTTAGTTGTGCTTAGAAATAAGTAAGAATATGGACTTGACTATGATGAGACGTTTGCTTCGGTTGCCAAGATGACAACTGTGCGGACTATTCTTGCTATTGTTGCGTCACAAGCTTGGCCACTACATCAAATGGATGTTAAAAACACATTCCTCCACGGTGATCTTCAGGAGGAATTTTATATCAAACTTCCTAATGGTATGCCTACACCTTCACCTAACACTGTTTGCAAATTAAAACGATCTTTATATGGATTGAAACAGACACCGAGAGTTTGGTTTGAAAAGTTTCGATCAACACTACTTGGTTTTGAATTCAATCAAAGTCGGTATGATCCATCTCTTTTCCTACAAAGGACTCCTAAAGGCATTGTGGTGCTTCTTGTTTATGTGGATGACATCGTCGTCACAGGTTCTGATCAAGATGCTATTTCTAGAATCAAACACTTGCTGCATTCAGCTTTTCAAATGAAAGAATTAGGCCATCTCACTTATTTCTTGAGTTTAGAGGTGCATTATCATCATCAAGGTGTTTTTCTAAATCAACAAAAGTATATTCAAGACTTGGTACAACTAGTTGGACTAACAAATGCAACCCCCGTAGACACTCCCATGGAAGTTAATGTTAAATATAGAAGAGATGAAGGTCACATTCTTGATGATCCCATTCAATATCGCAAACTGGTAGGAAGTCTTATCTATGTCACTATCACTCGTCGCTATACACACGGTTAGTAAGTTCATGCAAGCTCCACGACATTTCCATGTTTCACCAGTACAACGGATCATTAGATACCTACTTGGCACTCCAAAGCGAGGTTTATTTTTTCCTGTTGATTCGTCAATCAAACTCCAAGCATATAGTGACGCCGATTGGGCTGGATGTCCAGACACAAGAAAATCTACTACTGGCTGATGTATGTTCCTAGGAAATGCTCCTATTTCATGGAAATGTAAGAAACAAGATTTTGTCTCAAAGTCATCCACTGAAGCAGAATATCGTGCAATGTCTGCCGCTTGTTCTGAAATAATATGGTTGCGTGGTCTTCTTGCTGACCTTGGATTCTCTCAACAACAACCAACTCCGCTGCAGGCTAACAATACCAGTGTCATTCAGATTGCAGCAAATCCAGTTTACCATGAACGGACGAAACACATCGAAGTTGATTGTCACTCTATTCGAGAAGCCTATGATAGAAGAGTCATCAATCTACCACATGTCTCAACATCTATTCAAATAGCTGACATCTTCACTAAAATCTTGACACGTCAACGACACAATTTTCTACTTGGCAAATTGATGCTTGTAAATTTACCAGCATCAATTTAAGGGGGGATGTCAACAAAATTATTGACAATAATGAGTTAATTATTAGAAATAATTTTGTAGAGATTGTATATTTATTTGTAATATTTATTCTTTTAATTAACATAATTAACTGTAAATGTAAATATGGCAGTTTAGCTAATTTAGTGGGTTGAATATTCAACCTGACAGTTTGTAACTACAATAGTTATATGAGAGATCAGAATGAAAAGATATACGGTTCTTTGACCAAAACTTTCTTAGTTAACAGACAATAAAATTGTATACATCTTTAATGTTGAGAACTATATTTATATGGTAGAGTTTGTTTTAATTCAGAATGAAATCAGAATGCCTGAGATTTTCCTATACACAA